GTTCAGTAATTCTAATTGATCATTTATAGATTAAAACATGTTTAAAGGGAGAAATTCCGTTGGCTCCCTTAAGGAAAAACTACTGTTGCAGGTTATTGCATCTTTTACCACTTATTCAATTTTGAGGGGGATGGAGGGGGTCTATCCAGTCTTTTTTTCTTTCCCAATTCCTCTTAGAAATATTTTGCTTTCAGGGAGGTAGAGATGTCCATATTAGCCAAGTACATGAGATTTAGGGAGTGAATTGTGCAAGTCTACACCAGAGTGTGTGTCTCATGCTTAATTTGCAAGGCTTGACATATCTGACTATAATCCCTTCACGTTTCTGTCAGGCACGCCTTTGTCTCCTGAACAGAATAGAATCTGGTGGCTGACGGACAATAATGAAAACGCAAAAGAACTGCTGTGTTATTGGAGCATCCTGCAACTGTCCTCATAGCTTTAAGGATCTTTAAGAGTCAAAATTGCATTTCTCAGTAGTGTATGGCTTTAGAAAACACTATTTTCTTTTTGTAATTTTAAAGAGTCATTATTTCTGTACAAAGAAAATAGACTTCATAGATTCATGGAGGTACCTGAATCAGGGTCCACATATAAAAACTGAGAGATAAGAGGAGAATGAAACATTTTTTAAACACCATTGCAGTGTGACGTACTACTTGTGTGTGAACTGTAAATGTTGTGAGGATGACCAAACTGGCCTCTTCTGGTAAGAGTGTGCAATAGCAACAAAAGTAGAAAATCAACAATACCAGCTTCACTAATGGCTCTGACTCATACAGTACAATGCTTAGTTAAGGGGCCATCTGTGACAGACCTCTGAAGCATCACACCAGATGTCCAGAGTGTCATTTTATTTTCCTTTAACTAGCAAATACTGTATAACATTGAAATTGCCGCATGGGTGTGCAAGAGGGGTGCACTAATACATACTGGGAAAGCAAGAACATTCTGACCATCATTTACTCTTCACAGGTTGCCCAGTTTGTGCCAGTGGAGATCACTGTTTGGCTCGTGTGAAAAAAAACACAATCCAAGGCAGGGAGGTGGAAAAGATTTCCCATATTTGGATTTTTGGTGTGATGATAAAGTCTAATGCAGATAGAGCAGAGAAAAGGATCTGTACAGTGTAAGCTGGGGAACAGTTCCTGAGCTTGGTTAAATAGTAGGGTGTAGATCCAGTAAAAATGGCCTGTGTGACTCATTCTACTTGATCAAGCTGAAATTCAGCTCCAAGCCAGTTACCGATGAAACTTTAATATGAGTTGCTATCTCTGTACAGTTGTTCTGGTAGTTACTCCCATTCTGTCACCACTGGCTTCTTGCCTATACACCCAATATACATTTTCCATTCCTGAGAGGGAATTGACTCCCTGCCCCCTTGCATTTGCAATTGAACTGTGTTACTGAATGACAGTTTACTGGTGGATGGCTGGATTTGCTGATGGCAGTTGGGGGAAGAAGAGCTGATAAGGTATTTCTTGAAGTAGAGCATTTTTTTCTTACACAAGCTGTCTGCTGTAAGGCACATCTTTGTCCAGGAAGGATTCGATAAAGTGTCATAAAAATTCTCTGTGGTTTACTTTAACTAACCGTGATTTTTGTTTGCAAATTCACGGCTCTGGATATACAAACTGCTTATTTCTTGGGATTGTAATTCCAAAGCTTGGCTCATTCGGAAGATGTTCCTGTAGTGCTTACCAGATAGCTTTTTTGCTCAGATGAATAGTCTCTTGAGCCAATTCTTCTCTTGGTGAATTAAAGGCTTCATTCTTAAGCAGTGCCTTAATTTTTTTTTGCAGGAAACCTTTTAAATCAATCTATGTTTTAAAAGGTTGAAGGCTTTGATTTGTCTAGGTATTGCTCCTACTAGAAACCAGCCTAATAAGTGTAGGGCAGCAGGGGCAGCAGTGCGGAGTCATGGTGAGAGGCTCTGTTCTCAGGACCAGAGGTTCAGTGGGTTACATCCCAGGTGGGGCATTGCTGTTGTACGTACCTTTGAGCATGGCATTTCACACAAATTGCAGCTTGATAAATGGGTACTCACCAAGCCATCATTGCAAATGAAAATTTATTCTCAGGTGATTTAGCTGGTAAAATGTAGGATTTTAAAAATACAGTACTATACAATCTGTTAAGTGACCAGAGATCATTTCCTGACTGTCCACTCACTTGTTCACATGGAGATTATTCAGAGCTCCTCCTACTATCTCTGGCCTGTTAATTTTAGTTTCCCCATGTATTTATTTCCACAGTTTTATTAATATTTTCTAAAATCAATTTTTATGCAATTTATTTCATGTTTTGTTTGCATGGTTTGTTTAAATCTTCAGTTTTTTTAGCTTATGATCTACAGAATGCTAAATGATTTATTTTTTATGTTTTATATTATTTTATGTAAAATATTAAACTGATTTCTTCAAAGATTTAATTCCATCTTTAATGCCATATAAATTAACTACATTTTGTCTTTCCGTTGCCCTTCACTGTCTAGACTGAAACCCTCATGGGAGGAAGATCTTAACTTTGATCTTGTAGATGATGAATGAGACTCCATTCTCTTCTGTTTGAGCAAACCAGGGGCTATACAGCTTAGAATTTTGCTTTGCATTCTTCAGTTCAAAGTTATGTTAGCTGAAATCTCATTGGGCTTCAGTATAAACATATGGTGCAAACATGTAGTGGCAAATTCCTGTCTTGTTGCTAAGTTCGGCTATGTGTTCTGTTACTGTATTCACCTACAGTTCAGTATAATTATTTAAATGGCGGTAATATCCAAACATGTGATGTTCACTCTTGCTTTCCTTCAAAATGTTTTCCTTTTTGATAAAATACACTCCTATCTGTTTTAATGGAACACCGCTTTTTTGTTAAATACGTTTCCATGTCATACTGTATTAACAGATGGTCAAGCAAGATTTTGCATGTGCACTTTCAGTAACTTGTTGTGAAATAAGCTGTGGATAAGTATAATGAACAGATTCTTGGAAGAAAAATACAAGGTTAGAGATTACAGGATCAGTTGTATCTTCAAATGTCATCAATCTAAATCTGAAATAGGGGTAGCATGGTGATTAGTGCTGTTATTTCCACTCAGTTTCAGAATCTTGAGCTGAATTACAGTCTTGGGGGGGATCTCCGATGAGTTTCATGTTCTTCCCATGCTTGCTGTATGTGTAGATTTCTTTTGGGATGCCTTGGTTTCTGCCACATCCAAAACACATTCCAGCAAGTCTGTTCTAAATGGTCTCTTGGTCCTTAGCCTTGGGATGACTGGTGTCCTGAGCTGGGGGAGAGAAGTCATGTGTTCTCTGTCCTGATTTCACTCTGTGTGCTTCCAGGAGGGGTTTCTGATAGTGGAAGAGTGAAAAAATCTACAAACAGCCTGGATGAAAGGTTATAGGTTCATATCCCAGATGGAGCACTGCTGGTGTTGCTCTGGTAAAATGTCCTGTATAGACATAGTTTTATGTCACTCTGGATATGTCACGATCACAAACCCCCCCTCTTAAGGGCGCTCCAGCCCTTTCTCGTTCTGCCTCATTCCCCGCACCTGTTCCTTATTCAGTTCACCCTTAAAAGCCAGACGCTCACTTCAATCAAGGCTCTACATTGACTCCCGGTTCATGTGAGCCCGGGTCCTGATATGTCTGGCTCCGTTATGTTTTTAACTTTCTGTTCCTGTTCCCCCCACCGGTCCCGACCCGGTTCCCGTTTTTAATCTCCTGGATGGATCACCTGGTCATGGACTTATGCTTGTGTTTTGGATTCCCTGTTTGGACTTCTTCCTGGATTGTTTGCCCTGGCCTCATTCCCCCTGGACACCTGTGCACCAAGGACATGCCCCCTGTCTCCATTTCCGTCTCCTGCATGACTTTTCCCCCAGTGTTTCCTCACTACTCCAGATTGTGTCGTCTGCATAGGGCCCGGAAAGAACTGCTCGTGACAGGATAAAAACATCAGCTACTGTACATGAATGAAAAATAACATTGGATTGAAGAACAATAAATATAAAAATCGAGGTTGCATTTCAGTGACTTTTTATTTTTGTGTCATGCTTTTAAGAAAAGGTGTTTTTATATAATTGTTCATAATTTAGTTTTGGATTTTCTTCCAATTCATCTTTTTTTTTGCTTTTATGAAATGCCCAGTAAACTAGCATGCATGTCTTTGGGAATAGCAGGAAACTACCGTGCCTGTCTGAAAATCCACATGAATATGAGGAAAAGGTTTAAAATCCATATAAAGAGAAGCCCAGTATGGAATCAATGACCCAAGAGCTGTGAGGAATTAGCTTCCAAATATTATTTTATTAAAATATCCTTAAAAAGAGAAAAAAGGAAAGCTGATGTTTTTTTAATTGGATTCCTTCCATTACTGTTTCTGTCAAGAAATGCATTTATGATCTTTAAGTTTCCAGACAGCAAAAACTTTGACATCTTTCTTGTGCCTCAAAATAACTGAAATGCCAATACTGTAGTAACATTTTCAGGCTGACACATTACTTTTCATTTCTTTCTCACTGACCTTAAGAAAAAACTGGAAAGTGAAGTTCAGCTTATTTTTGTGGACATTTCCAGAATGAGACAAAATATAATTATTTTGCAAAAGAACAAATATAAAAATGTCAATTACAAAAATAAAAATGAATTACAAATGAATGCAAGAGAGGTTATGAATGACAGGAAGCCACTCAGACCAGCTAGTCCCTTTGGTAGTTATTTGTTCATCAAAGGGTTTCATTCAGCTCTTTCCTGAAAGAAGCCAGGGTATCCACTTCACTTACATGGGTAGACAGCTTGTTCCATACTCCCACAACCCTTTCTGTAAAGAAGTGCCTCCTGTTTTCAGTTTTAAATTCACTTCCACATAAGTTCCACTTGGCCCCCAGTTTGTGTTTCTCAAACACACTCATGCCATTGACACAGAAAATCTTTGAGTGTGATGACTTGTTTGTGCGGTGTGGAGAATTCATCTGATCAGTGTTCTCCATGTGTTAGCTTCCATAGTGCTGCAGAAGTGGTGGTGTCAGATGCACCCCTGTCTGGATGGAGAGGAGTGTAAAGTGCTTCCAGATCTCACTGGGTGGTCCTGTAGCACTGGGAACAAGGTCAAGACAACGAAGGTAAGAGCTAGGTGATGGAGAATAGTGCTATAGTGTTTGCTAGCTTTTCTTGTCATGTTCAAGATGTATTGACATTTATTTTAAAAGTATCATATATCATTCTGTGTTCAGTTACCATTTTTTGAAATTAAAATGACACATTTCCACAAGATCACAGGAGATATTTTAAATCATTTGATAATTTCTGTGTCTATTAGCAGCATTATGCTATAGCAAAAGTCTGAATGAATCCCTCATTTGTTTTATTCTTACAGATTGGACTTCTCACAGTTTCAATTTATTACCATTGTTATTGGCAATATTGTTATCATTAATTGTATTAAGCTAATGCCTTTTTCTTACATGGCTTATACCGAGAATATACAGAAAATTATAAATACATTTATAATATTATATTATAAATAAACTACAAAAACATGCAAAACCACAAGAATATAATCAAACGATAATGCAATAATGCAATAATTATTCATAATACAGTAATTTATGTTCAGATTTTAGTTGTGCTACAGATTTGTTTTACAAAATGCAGTGTCTTAAACTTGATGTTAACAAAGTACGCACACCTTCATTTTAAGTTCATCCTTGCACACACATTTAGTTGTGAGCTTTTGGAAAGAGTATGTAAGTTACAAATTAATGCCTTTATATAAAAATCTTTTATGATAATGGGCAATATAATTGAACAGAATTTCATCTCATGTTTGCAGCCTCACTGAGACCTGCTCTCAAAGCATTGAGAAAAAACTAATCAGGCGCACAAGCTTAAACAGTACAGTAAGCTTAATTTGTTAATCTTGTCAAAAGATGAAGCAGGCAAAATTAGATGTGAAAAGACATTTTGCTCACATGTAAACCAGAATTGTGTTGAACCCTAACAATTGTTATGTTAATTTGACTTTTTAAGTGTGAACAAGGCAGACATTGGAGGCAAATTGATCTAAATGAAGCCACTTCATGCCCCTTTGTTAGCTGTTGAACTATGAAAGTTAATATACAGGCCGTTAGCGAATTGTTAAATTGAGCAGGTGTAGTTTAATCGCAGGTGAAATATTAAAAACAGTTGTGAAGAGTACAAAACACTATAAGAGTAATTAAATGGAGAATAGTCTAACAGCTGAACATCTGTTGCATTAATTAAAATGCATTGAGGCTGCCAGGCCCATGGAGAGTTTAAAATTAAGGTTTCTAATTAAATTGGTAACAGTGTAGACAAAAATTAAGAATAAATAAAATATTCTATCTGATTTAATGATGCAGCCAAGTCTTCAACGGGTAAAGTTATCTTGATAATCCTATTTTGTAATACATGCTTTGCTGCTGAACCTATCAACAGCAGCGGGTTTCTGAATACTGAAAGTAAAAGATGTTTCACTGGATCAATGCGCATTCATTTTGTTTTCTAAGTGTGAAAGAAGAACAGTATTATATTTAGTTGTGCTTGGCAGATGTCACAGGAGATTCTCAAGATAAGGTTTAGTGCACTGTAACTTTCCTCCTGGTACATCTCTTGTGGTGACAGTGGCTTACCCCAAGGTTAGACGCTAATGTAAAATTCAACAACCATCATAATGGTTGGGTTTATTTAAGAAAACCTGCAGTGTGTGCTCAACATAGTTTTTAGAAAACCTTAGCTCTGTAGATGCATTCATTTATGATGATGTATTATGGTTTCAAAAAGGTGAATTTGATAGTCAGGGAAGGGGGTTGCACTATCATGTTCAAAAAGCAAAGAGAACCATTCAACTGCACTCTGTTCTATTCCATGTTCATTATTTAATTGCACCAAGCCAAGTACTGTAGATTAAATTAAACCACAAACTCCAGACCCAGTACTTTGTTTGCTAGAAGGAACAGACAGTCTCTGTGAAATTTGTAAATAAGTAATTTTTTGCTGGGTCAAAAGTTTTATAGTCTTTTTACAATGTTAAATGCGTATGACATGTCAATTATTAATTGTGTGTAAGAGTCAGGATATCAGACTCTTTTCTTTGCAATACCAGAATGAGCAAATGCTGTTCACTTACATGGCTTTGAGTGTTAAAAGAGTTGAGCAGCATTTAAAGCATCTAGCCATGTATCCCTGTCATAATGTATTAGGTACAAAAGTTTTATGACCCCCCACCTATTAAGGGTTTTATTTCTACTTTTTATCTGGATATGCAAGACACATCATTCAATAATGTTATTGTTCTCAATTCAGGCGACAAAGGGCTACCATTTATGCTTAGTGGTATTTTTTCAATTGAAAAAAACTAAAATTCCCAAATCTGATTTAGGGGTGTCTCCTCTTTCCTTTGTTTTTTTTCCCAGCTACGTTCTTAATCAGTAGCTAACTGATTTCTTTTTGCTGTTTAAAACATTTTTAATTCTGTGTTTAGCTCTGAATGGAAAATGTATTTGGTCTCAACCACTGTACTGATGTCTGAATATCAGACCTTCACTCGTTTCAGTGATTTCTGTGAAATATAACCTTGGCAGAGGAAGAAAGAGCTCATTGTGGGAGTGGTTGATGCATACTGGCTCCACCTGTCTGCTCATCATAACACTCTATGTCCTGACACTGTTGAAACAAGCTGCTTGAAGTTGGATATTTCCAAAATCAAGGATAGCGTGCACAAACAGCCAAATAATTGGTAGACTAATTAAAGGTACCAGTGATCAAAAGCTCAATTGGAATGAACACAGATAAGATAGATAAGTGTTCCTCAGCGATGCCTCTCAATGGCCACACAACCCCCAGATTTATAAATAACTTTAAAGATTACCTGCTGTAGACCCAAGGTAAGGGCCGAATTTATTTAGTTTTTTAGATTTACAGAAAACTGCACACTGAAATTAAAGCAAAAATAACACAAAGGAATTTATTTTGAAGCAGATTCGCCCTGCGTCCACTTCTGTTGTAGACTGTAACATGACAGTCTCTTAATTTTAATGTTGGTCTTTATTCACTTTCTTTTTTTAGGTGACACGGTAGCAACACAAATTGCTAACCAGCTAAGAAACCTAAGACTTGCTACCTAAAATTCTCTGAGTACAACAAAGGCAGTCGGCATGGCCGGGAGAAAACAGCCAACTAAACTACACAGGACGTTATTTAATTTGGGCCTGCAGAAGAAACTATCATATGAAGAAAGGCCAAGATGAATGAACAGTGCTAAAGATGGAAAGAAGCGGTGTGTAAAACACAACAAAGTGGGCCCAAAACAATAAAAGGCTCTAACTTGAATATACTATATACCACTGTACCCTTAAAGATGATAACTTTAATACAGTAACTACATTGTGGATGAAATGCAAATGCAGAGTATCTGGTATTGTTACTGAAAATTTCAGATGTAGGTTCATCCTCAAAATACCTTTAACATTTTTTCCTGTAAAACTTTGGATAATGTTGCACAGATTAGCATAGGAATTTAACCATTGAAAAGCTGATCTCACTTGACACTTGGATTTCAGCTTTCTGAGATACAAAGGCTTGTATTTGTAACCAAGGGAGCACACATGCATTTTGAAACAAATTATTGTTAAATTGCTCTTGTGCGTCAAGTTGTACCATGAAATGTTTTGAGAAAGTCATTTTGCAGTTCTAATTAAGGTTGCAGATAGGACCATAGCAAATATTGAGAATTCATGTAAGATATTTGCACTAGTTGAAAATGTTTTCAGATTTTTTTTTTAATTTTAGCTATTTCATGTCCTTTTGCTGTTAATGTTAATATGTCAAATTAAAAAAAAACATTTTATAAGATATTTGTTTCAGATGTCTGGGTAGAAATGTTGTTTTTTCCATCTTTTTATGTTAGTAAATCATGGTTGTTAAGCAACCAAAAAAAGTGTGGGAGCCTGTTTTTTTCTACTTTACAACTACTGTAAATGTTTTTTTTAGCAGTTCCAGTCCCAGTTTTACATAGTGCTTACTTTCAGCAAACATATCCACCCTCATTTAAAAATTAAATACATTGCATATCTGCTTACCTAAACAATGCTGTGAATATTTTCAGTTTTGGAACCTGAATTAGGAATGCAAGTTTGTCAAACATTTGTTTAAAATCTTTCCAGCAAAACATGGTTGATGATGATCCCAGTGTGATTTTCCATCCATCCATTTACTAAATGTATCTTCCAATTAAGGGTTGTGAGGGAGTTGGAGCCTATCATAGCAAGCAACAGGCAGAAGGCAGGGTGCACTCTGCGCGGGGTGTCTTTGTACTGTGGGAGGAAACCCTTCCGGAAACAGGGAGAACATACAACTCCACACAGACAGCATCCCAGGTGCAGAACTGAACCCAGGCTACCAGTGCTATGAGGCAGCAAGGCTAATCACTGCACTACTGTGCCGGTCCAGTAGGAGTTTAACAAGATTAATAAATACATTACAAAGTAGAAAACCGAACTAAAACCTCTTGGTGTTTTATTTCATCCCGAAGAAGCAATTTTCCTCCCCGTGCTGAGTTTGTTTAGTTTTGCCATCTGTGTGTTAGCACTGTCGAAACCTTCAGATTTGATCCTCATGATGATGAATAATAGACTTCCTAATTTGAATATGATCATATGTAATGAATGGAATAAATATTTAATTCTCCGTTTTTCTTGGTAGCACTTTTGGGAATAAGGTATTCATACTCGACAGCAATCTTACTTTTGAAATTATGCATGCAATTCATCAGTTGTGTGAATTGGCTTATACTATACCAGGCTTTTAAAATATCTGTTATTTAATTTGCACCCTCTTATTATATACCACTTTGAAAAAGAAATATTAAATTACATTTAATATGAATTAAGTTTTAGGGTGACACAGTGGTACCATTGCTGGGGCCCTGGGTTCAATTTCTGGGGTATCATCTCTGTGGAGTTTGTATGATCTCCCTGTGTTCACAGGGTTTCCTCCGGGTTCTCTGGTTTCCTCCCTTAGTCCAATGACATACAGTACTGGTACTGTAGTTTAATTGGCTTCTGGGTAGATTTGCCCTAGTGTGAGTGTGTGTTTATGTACAGTATGTGTGTGCTTTGTGATGGACTGGCATCCAGTCCAGGGTGTATCACACCTTGTGCCTAATGCTTTCCCGGGATAGGCTCTAGGCCACTGGATAAGTGGTTCTTGAAAGTGATTATAATTAATTATTTAAAAATTAAAATCACTGTACCGAGTTTGCAGTCTTCTAAAAGTAAAAAATTTAGCTAGTCGGGAAGGTCTCTGAAATGGTAGGGAAATTAAATGCGAATAAATGGCTTTGAAGAAGACCAAAAATAGTTAAATCATCTAACCTCCCCCCCAAAAAAAAAGGTTGCAGAAAGTGTATACCAAAATCTAACTGTGATTACTATGTAACAGCTCTATGTATAAATGCAGAAAGTGCAGAGAGAATGTGTCATATAACTCAGTCATTGTGCCTTCAACCAGACCAGAGAGTTCATTCGCTGAAATGGCAAGAGGGCTCTTCAAACCCACTGCTTTGTGAACTGTGATAAATCTATGGCTGGTGTGTTTTCTTTGCGAAGCTGGGCCCACTGGGGACGCCACTGATACTGGCAGCTCAAAACTCTCATTACTGAAACTCGATTCTGCTATTGGTCTCCAGAGATGAATGGCATCTTTTCAGACCCCTGCTTTCCTTAACATTTACAGCTCAAATCCTCATTCTCCAGTGGTCTTCCAGACACATAGATACCAAATGCCTCATGCCTTTATACACCACTGCATTTTTCATAATATTTTGATTTGTGCTATCTAAAATGATATGTGTCATGCAGTTTCTATGTCCAGTCCTGTTTCGCTGGGGCTGTTCATCACAGAAACAAAATTAATTTGTAATTATGTAAAGGTCAAAATACCCTGTAAATAAAATTCAGTTATTTTGGGCCAGTAATTTAAAATGTACATAAAAATGTCTGGACTGCTGCAACATTGGCAGATTTTATTCAGAATATTATAAATATTCTGACAACTTAATAACTTAGTATTAGCTAAAGTCATGGGTGGTTACCACAGAAATGTATGTAGTAATTATATCCTGGGTTTTGGCTACATACAGTATAAATCAGCTTTCAGTAATGCAAAAAAAGTTGGCTCTCAATGAACTGACACAGATGTTGAACTCTGGCTGCAGCATTGTTGTGTAGCTTTGGAGAGCAGCAGTTATCTCAGGGGAGAAATGACAGGGGCGAACCTGGTGCCCTGTGTCATCCTACAAGAATCTAAATTGGAGAATAGATGTTATAAGTCAATTCAAGACTAGTCCTTCATGTCTGAGGGTTATTAGAAGATAGCTGAGCTTTCAGAATCTTAAAGGAAAATTGGATATCCTAGATTGTCACTTGTTTCAGTGTGTTCAGCTTGAAACCGGACATTTGTATCACCTGTATAGTCTACTACTTCACTATGGAAGCTGCAGTTTTCCACCAATGCATTGATCTGTAGAACTAACACTTAAGAGACCGCTGTACTACAGTATGTAAAGTTTGCCAGCTAGAGCGATTTGGGCATTTAATAAAAGCATAGTGCAGAAATCAAACTAGCTTGACCTAAAAGAGCTCCCCTGACTGAAGACATTAAAAGGGTGACAGAAATGGGTGCCCTGAGTGGCGCGACCAGTAAAGACACTATCCCAGGTGCATGTTTAACTTTGTGATTGTGGCTCCAAACTTATAACGTTATAAGCTATGATTGAAGTACCTGAAGCAATGGTGTAAATCAACTGAGAGCCACAAAGGACAGAGAAGGATTAGTCATCCAGGCCTCCATTGACTCTTAGCAACACTGTGATCCCTGCGGCCTCCCGGTGCTCTTTCTGAAGGATTCTTTTTTTTTCCTCCAGTCATCGCAGACCCTTTGCTATGTGATGTGTTAAAAAAACAGAAACTTGAAGGTGGGCGAGTTGGAGGAGTTGACCTATGCATGTGCTTCCTCATTCTCCTGTGTGCAAGGTAGACCATGTACCTGGGTGGAGCAGTGGCTCTGTGGCTAAGGATCTGTTCCTGTGGCTGGAAGGTTGCTGGTTCAAATCCTGTAGCTGGCAGAGGAATCCTGCTCCATTGGGCCCCTGAGCAAGGCCCTTAACCCCAAATACTCTAGGGGCACTGTGCAATGGCTGACCCTGTGCTCTGACCCCATGCTTCTGTCTGTGTGTCTCACGGAGACCAAGTTGGGGTATGTGAAAAAGACAAATTTCTAATGCAAGAAATTGTATATGGCTAATAAAGTGGTCTTATCTCTTATCTTGTACTGTAGGTGCAGGGACAGGAAAAACAGAAGGACTGCTGATGATTACTGTGCAAAGCAGTCTGCTGGGCTCTTCTGATGTGTGCAGCTTCCTCACGCTTTTTGACATTTTTTATTTTGGGGTCATCATGTTAGCTTGCCCAAATGTGCACAGCCTTGCCGTGGTTTTAATCCAGCTGTTGGTAGAATGCATTTCTAAGGTTGAAAAGCTGACTGTGAAGGCCGGTTGATCTCTGTCAGCTTTTCAACCTTAGAAGTGCATTCTTCTAAGGTTGTGGAGGATCGTAGTCTAGACTATAGATAAAAGCAATGAAAATGAGTCCAACAAGATTCATTTACATTTGATCTTTCCAAGTTCCTCCTTGCCATTTGCAAAGTCTCTGCCGGTTTGTGCAAAATAAGTTATAAAGACCGCAAAGAGTAAGTGATTCACTGATGTTTTTGAGCCTCAACTAACTTTCCATTCTTGCAAGTTGATCAACGGGACACTAGACCAGCTACTCCACGCAGTGGTAGGATTACATTCACAGGACTTCAGGGTAATGATGATGAGATTTTCCCAGCTTTTTCACTCTTGATCTGAATCAAGAAACCTGAATCTTTGTGATCAGGATACCAGGGTCATAAAGAGGAGACCATAGCAGAAGACAACTGCGACCAGCCAGCCATGTCAAAATATGTCAAAATAAGTTACTAAACTTCAAAAATGTGTGCTACAGGTAAGAATTATTTTTTTAACTTCCTTATTGCACAAACAAATGATGCTTTGATGCGATTAAACAGACAAAATAAGATATAAATTTGATTAATTTTATAAATGGCCTGCCAATAATATTTCTTCTTCAGGTCAGCAGCCATTTTATCCCTCCCGATGCAGCAGTGTCAGTCATCCTTAAACTCTGAAAGGTTACTGGTGGCCATCTCAGTTTCTCCAAACAGCCTCCACACAGCACAAAATTCCAAAAATAAAGGACCACAGCAGTGACTTGGGAAAAAAGGGAAGGTAAATACAAATCATTCCTCATGCACACAGACTTACATACTATTTCTTCATGTAAAGGCTACAGCCTCACACCGTATTTGCCAACTAGCTACAGTTTCACAAGAAGGAAAGTAGCACATCCCCAGCAGTCTGCCCAGTGGCTGATCAGGGCTGTGTGTCAGTGCAACTAGGATTATATCAGTGCAATACAGGATATATACAGTACTACCCAATACTAACATTATAATGTTTTCATTTTTTATTTCACCCTGTAAAAACATACAATTACCTGTATCATGATGCTGTAATCTGTACCGTGCTGTGGTTTTGTTTTACATCTGTTTAAATTATTTGTTTAAAGCTGTTAGATCTGTGTTGCCTTTCTTTTCTGCATCTGAATGAATAGCTGTGATGAGATGTTAATCATAGTGGACACCAAATAAATACTGCTGAAGGCATTTTAGCTTAGCTTGAAAAATGTTTCACCATTGTGTCGTCAAAAAGAAACATGACAAAACCAAAGTAAAACATAAAAAAGTTCAAAAAAAGTTTTGCTT